GCCCCAGTATTACTTCTGTAGCGTAATAATATCAGCCTATCAACATGTGCCGGCCAGTGGGTTAAGCATTTTACATATCCTTTCATCTGTTTCTTAGAAGGACTCTTTACAGTATATACTCGGGTAGCCATTTTACAAATGAGGTATCCAAGGTACAGAATAAATTGATAGGAAATCTCATAGTTAGTAGGCGGTAAAGTCCAGGATTGTCATGTGCACAGGCTGGTGCTCTTGGCCACCAGAATTCCACTGCCTCTGGGCTTGCTATTGGAGGCTGGATCCTGGGCCATTGATTGTACTATTCATTGCTTCTCAATCTTACATCTACCTTTCCTAAACACCTCAAGGGCAGAAACACTTTCGTTGTCTCATTTCTTAGTCTGATGATGTCATCCTGCAAAAATGAGTTTTCCACCCCACCACTATACTATGCCTGTTGACTTAACTTTTCGATATTAAGAATTTATAGTGTGATTATCTTTACTGCTGTCTTTAGGATTTTATTACTCAAGGGTGGCCAGTGAAAAATCCCTAGTAGTCTATGGATGAGATTCAACATAAGGAGTTTTCTTACCCAGGGTACCTCTCCCTCCTGAGTTCCACTTACAAAATTTTGACATCATTGACATAATTCACAAGGTCAGATAAAAATGGACCTGTTGGGGAAGACAATTTCCATTCAATCTGAATGTAATGTAATCACACAACAAACAGTCTTGTAATGATGGAAACCCCAGGTCTGAAAAACTACCCCTCAAGCACCAAATCCAGGCTGCTGCCTGTTTTTCTTTTGTAGCCTGTGAATTAAGAATGGCTTTTAGACATTTAAATGCCTGGAAAAACCCGAAAGAATATTTTATGATTCATACAAATGAACATAAATTAAATTTCAGTGTCCACAAATAAACAAACTCGTATCAGAACACATACGTACACACAAGATCAGTTTCCCAAAGCAGACTTCTCACTAAAAGTAGCTTTTTGCTCAGTGTTTCAACTCAAGTGGAATACAGCAACCTCAGCCACCACCAGATTTCCTGTCCCTAGCCTGCTCTTTACCTCCTGTTTTCCCTCCGGTCTTTTAGATGTCCTAGTGCTCAGTTATGCTGAGTGGCTGGATTTCTTTGTTCCTTATTTTATAGATTATTGGTATATTTTGTGGGTGTGCTTTAATTTTGTTCAATCTGCCACATCGAAACGTCATTTTAACACTGATTTCAAGTAATTTCCCACTTTTAGGGTTGTGATGCAAGTGAGACCTTTCATCTGTATGCATCTATACATGTGGACTACATTAGATCCAAGGGGAAATTTTTGTTGAGACTTGATGGCTTTTATGTATCTTTTTGACATGTTAAATTTTGAAATAAGAGTTTAACTGCATTGCATTATAAATCCTTCCCAGAATGAGGTAGAAAGTAATTGCACTTTTACTTTGGAATTCAAATGCCTTTTAACATAGGACCTCATTATATTAATAATCGTCTCTTTAAGAGCTCACGATTTTTTTTTTTTTTCGAACAAGGTTGAAAGAGCTTTATGAAAGGAAGGAGAGGATGCAAACCTAGTTCAGGGGAGCTATGTCAGAGAAGTTAGGGCTTTCCTGCACTCCTCTAACCACCTTCTAAGAAAGGCTGCTGTTTAATATGCAAGTGACCAGGAAAGTATCCCATTATTGTTCAATGACATTTTTTTCCGTGAGATTTTGGGATTCCAGGTCACTTTGATAATCTGTAGAAAGCAGTGAAAAATGCACATACACACAGACACACTGAATTTAGCATAAAATTTCAGGGAGTTAAGGATTGTTGAATTTACTTGAAGAGCCATTTGAACCTATTTAAAATATTTGAAAGATCTCTATCCTCTGGCGGCCGATGTGTTTTCACAGGGCAAACTGGTAACATTCTCTTTAAATGACACTTCCTTAAGGGATTTGAGTTGTAGCAGATGCTTGTGAATCAAGGCATAGAGAAAAGAAACGAACAGAAAATACATAAAATAAATAGTCACGCACCTGTATAAAACTCCCAACACACAGACATTCCTACCTAAAAAGGTGCACAGCTATACCCATATTGCTTCCCCTGCGTGTGGGAAGCTGGTCACGTGGCTGAGGCAATATATCAGTCTGCATCTTATTAACCTAGACTGAATAATATACAATATTCTCCAGTTGGAAAACTCCAGCAATAACACTATCCGTCTTTAGGTTTTTAACATGATAAAGCCAGCATTTCTGTGTTCTTTCAGAGTACATTTTTCCCGAGGGAAATGGGATTGTGTGTGTGTGTGTGTGTGTGTGTGTGTGTGTGTGTGTGTTGCTCTCCCTGTAGCAAGCACATTTGACATCCAGTTTCAGAAACTGTCCTTGGTGTCTAAGCCATGTTTATCTCTAGCGAAAACAGCCATGCTTCTGTTTAATATCTTTGCCTAGTAGCTTTCATAGTTGTCACTAAATATTTCAAGCCACATTTAAATTTCTTGGCTCATTACATGTCACACCAAACTGACATGTTGGTAACCTTACATGTTCCATAAAAATATATTAAGAACTTTAAGTTTCTGCCAAGCAATATATCACGTGTCAAAATGTAATTCTCAAAATGATACACACAATTGTCGCACAAATAGGTACTGAGCACGTGTCAAGATTTCATTTGGGGCAATCAGCAAAGCCGGTTCAGAAAAGAGATAAATATCTCTGTATCCACAGCTCCGTATATATATCCATATCCATATATATTTATAGCTGCATCCGTAGCTATATCAATCCTATATACGTACATATAAATTTTGGTATTACACCTGAGACCAGTGTTTTCTTTATCAAGTTATTAGTTTAATTTGCAGAATCCATTCATATTAAAAATTCCATATACCCAAGGTTTCTAATAATCAAATGGATCCCTCTTGTTAGGCCTGTGCTTTTAAACCTTTAGTGTATATCAGTTTCACCTGAAAGATTGCTGGCTTCCACTCCCAGAGTTTCTGTAACTCTAGGTGGTGCCAGGGAATTTGTATTTCTAACAGGTTTCCAGTGGCTGCTGCTGTTCCACAGTTCACACTTGGAGAACCGCTGATCCAAGCACAGGCTTTGCCTGAGGATCAAGTGAGGCCTCAGGGACTGTTGGTCAAAACCCCAAGGAAATCAATGCAACCTCCGATTGGTTCTCTTATTGTCCCTCTTACATTATCCCCATTTCCTTCTCCTGCCCCGCTCAGTGCACACCAGATCATCCACACCCAGCTGCACCCCAGGGATGCTCCCTATATTGGAGCATCTCAAATCCTAATGTGGGTCAAACTCCCAGTGCCTTCTCCACAGAGATCTAGCCTCCCTCCTCATTTGTCCTATTTCTGTCAGTGATTTCAATTTCATGATGAGCCAGGGATAGAATGCTCCAAATCATGTATTGTAAACTAGAATGTGCTTTTTATTTTTAAATTATCATTGACAAGAGTTTCTCTTAGGGGAGATTTTTAGTGTTTGAAAGTTTGGAATCATAAAGAGATAATCCCTTCTGCTTTCAATCTGCCAGTTCCCTAGTCTGTTCCTCTGTGATGTGGCCTTAATTCCTTGTAAGAAATAGAAGCTTCAGAGATATTCAGAAGCTTGGGAACTGACAGTAGTATTAAATCAGGAAGGATGCTAGCCCTGGTGATCTCTTGGAAGGGCAGCTTTCAAAGAATGTCTCATCAGAAGCTAGCCTTCTAGAGATTGGGCCAAAATGGTTAAGAGATAGCTGGAGGCAGGAGTTACTAAAAGCCTGAGTCAGGAGTTTGGCATGGCAAGGAAGGAAAGATTAATTTTCAAAAGCTATAACAGGATCATTTAAAGGAATTTGTTTTGGAGAGGGGGAACCATTGAAAGCAGAAAAGTTAGTGAATTTCTGGGTAGCGGAGAGGGTTTCATTAAGAATACAGAACTAAGTTCGAAAGGAAAGAAGAAGGTAATCTGGAGAGTAGGTGAAGTGGTTAGCTTTGAACAGGAAAAAAATCTTTTTGTCTAAGCCTAGAGGGAAGAATATGGTTCTCAGATGGCCTTGAGATCACACATGAGAGGGAGGGAGGACCAGGCATCTGAGAAAGCGAGAAAGCTAGAGAATGCCAAGGTGGATGAGTATGTCGTTGGCTAAGTCAGTGTTGGACAGATGATATTGTCATCAGCCAGCCTGGTAAAACTTTTTTCCTCCTTGTCCACTACTCTGCAGGTTCAGTGGGATAAGGCTGAGGTAATACTGGCCTCAACATATGCATTGATTTTCTTTGCTTTCATGCAGACAAATTGTCCTGTGTTATAGATGCTACTCTAGTTACAAGGAGATTCAATACTGCATATGGATGGCCTCTTGTGTTTCTTAAATGCTATAAGTCCATTCTCACCAGGAGATGAGGCTCAATTCTTTCCCATTTTGTTACACGCGTAACCCAAGTGTAAATGGCAGCCAGCTGCCGCTAGTTCCTCAGTTTCACAAAGGGAAGGAAATTCCCTAAAGGAGGTAAATGTCCCCAGTTATATCACTTACGGATGCTTAACAGAACAGTTGAAAACTTCTTGCATGGTTTTTAAAATGGTTTTGATGTTTATTTTTGAGAGAGAGACAGAGACAGAACACGAATGGGGGAGAAGCAGAGAGAGAGACACACACAGAATCCAAAGCAGGCTCCAGGCTCCGAGCTGCTAGCACAGAGCCTGACGTGGGGCTCGAACCCACGAACCGTGAGATCATGACCTGAGCTGAAGTCGGATGCTTAACCGACTGAGCCACCCAGGCGCCCCTTCCTGGATGTTTAATGTGAGAGTTGTTTTAAAGGTTCTATTGAAGTAATTTATTTCAAAGCAGAGCCTCTCTTTCTAGTAAAAATATGATTTGGTCTCTCACCAGTATTTGGTTTAGGACAGGATGCTCACTCCTACAAGTAGTTGATATGATACAGTGGTTAAATCCCTCAGGTTATTCATATGGAGTCAGGAGGATATATGTGTCTCTTTCCAGGACCACGAAACCTCCTTTCCCAGGGCGCTCTCAGCCCAGAGACTTTCCCCGCGGTGGTGCTTTCTAGATGGTGAGTGTTTCTATATTTCATGGAGTGGTGGGATGGTGGAAGCAGCAGGACAATGCGTTGATAGATGGAGTGGATGGGCCCTAGTTTTCCAAGGGATTATTCAGAAACCCTTCACGTGGCCTTACAGGGTTGGCATTTGCATCCCATACGATGTGTTGCCACACACTTTCCTGAAGTCATTTTTCTCAAAGAAAATTGGTGAGCTTGGGCTGAACTTCACAGCACCAAATTTCCCTCTCAGTGCACCTCCCCCCCACCTTTTTCCAAAAAGATGTTGAATGCTTATCTTAAATTCAGGCCAGTAGATGGATCCAGTACATAGGTACTAATTCCTCTGTTGTTTGCTTATGGTGGAACTTCCATATATTTTCATTAGCCATCATTTCAGTAAGATGTATACATTTTTACAAAAATGTAGAAATTCTCTGTTCCATTCAGATCTGTGCCTCTGAGCATGACCTATTGAATGCATAATATTTTCGTTATTTTCCGATCAGTTAATGGGTCCATTTTACATCGCAAGCATCACTTACTCCCTAGATGCTGCTTAACCCTGCTTTTCTATCCAGTTACCCGTATAACAGTACACTTCCTGCTTACAGCGTATCTACTACTCAGTATCTCTCTTGTCTGCGTGGACATGTGTTTTTCACTGTAGACATTTCTTTAGTTGATCTGTATATGCATCAGAGAGGATATAAATGTGGACAAGAGTGTGACAGGGTGTGTGAGTGATCTAACCCGTGTGAAGCATGACATAGGTTTTCATTAATAGCTTGTCAGCTGCCTCTGAAGATAATTTCTACTACTTCTCCTCCAGCTCCTTTATTCCCTTGTGATGAGAAGCACAATCATTTGTTTTTCCTGAATCTACAAACAACTTATATTTGAGAAAATTTTTGAAAATGTCTGTGAATTGTTCTATATCCAGTCTATTCCATATACATTCTTAGATGAAATTATAAGTGTGGGTGGTAGTGTTAACCCAGATATTAGTTAAATTCCATAGATAAAAATCCTTTAAAAAGTGATCGCATTCATGGTTACAAAGAACAAAGTAAAGCAAGTCTTTCTCAGATAGATTTTACTCCCATGTTGCTTTTAAGGGGCAGCAACCATGATTATCTTGTTTCTTAGCTCATTTCCTTTGGAGAGAAGCTACTCATTAAATATTTATGATTTTTGAATGGTTATTTGCATTTTGAGTTATTCCCTTGAGTACTATGTACTTTGTAGAAAATCTATTTATAATATATAGAATCTGTTAGATAGATTTCGGTGAGGAGGAACATAATTCTTCGGAGTATTAAGAATAATCAGAATAGTTTCTAGAAACCCAAAGTTTGCAAGTTTTTCCCTCAAACCACAGATGCAGCCCAGTCCCTTTTAGGAATGGTTAAATAATTATTTTTACTGTTTTGGCTTTCTTTAGACATGGCTTAGGGGACTCGGTCTTGAAGTGAAATGAATCCTTTCATACCAGATGTGGTCCCTGGCTCAGCATCTTCAAGATTTTTTTCAAAATGAGAACCGCTTCCTTGGAAAGTCTGGCTACTGAACATTTTTCCCCCCTAACTTCATTTACTTAATAAATATGTACCAAGTCTCAGCTCTGTTTAAGGTCTTGTGCTAATGTCTGGAGACATAAAAAAGTCAATGAAACACAGACCTTTAAAGAGGCAGATATCTCATAGTTATTTGTGAAGATAGATAGTTTCTGTAAGAAGTATAAACACAATGTAAATATGCATAAAGGCAGGAACAAAGAATTCTGTCTGGGGTAGGGAGGATGGGATTGAGGAATGTTTCACAGAGGAGGCAGCACATAATTTGGTCCTTAAGAGACAAGTAAGATTAGCGGCGGGGGAAGAGGGGAGGAGACAGAAGGGGGGAAGGGCATAGCAGTAGCAGAGACAGGGAAATCCTAAGTTTTTCTAAATAGATTTAGGAACTGGCTGGTGGTCCGGCATGGTTGGAATATAAAGCTTTTGAGTGGCATAATGGCAGAGAAGGTTGTACATCTGATGCCAGGTCACAGGACTCTGAATGCTGTGTACATTTTTTTTTTCTAGCAACTTCTGCTGATCGCTTTTACCGAATAGACAGATCTCAGGTAAGCTTTCTTGAGCCTATCTGTGAAAGCGAAAAACTCCCACATAAATATACTTTATTGGTGGCTAATCTTAGAATTTTTTATAATGTAAACACTAAAACATTTGCAAATCCTGGAATGGTACTCATGGACTGAGCTATGAGCTTTTTATTTGTCTTCACACGTTTTGTGATTTGTGGACTCAAGATGATGTTGCTTGACCTTGCAAATGAGTACAGTAAATAACTAGGCTTGTAGATACTTTCACCAGCCTGCACTCCAAATTTTCTCTCACACAGCTACTTTTACTACTCCCTAGCCCAATTTTATGGCATTTTAAATTTATTTTAGTTAGCAAGCTTGACACCTCAAGTGTATGTTCATGCCACCTACTTGGAGCTCATCAATTCCCAGAGTTCCATAATGAGACAAAAAAATGCTTGTGCCCAATGATAATAAGTGTTCCCACTGTCCAAATTCTCCTGAAAAAATAGAAGAAGAAGAAAATACGGTATGGAATCCAGTGATACAATCAGTTGTTAATCATGCCACTTGGCTTTGGCCAGGTCCTGGGGATCCAGGTTCAGCTTATTGCACAACTCATGCTGGACCAAGCTGCCTGTGGGGTGTTGCTTCTTTGATGATATTTGGGAAGAAGAGGCAAGACCATCCTTGGTGGTACCTGACAGGATCCTGGTCAAGTAGGAACCCCAAACCAAGAGGGATTCAGCTCTTCCCCTCACCAGCCTCTTGCTACAGTGTTGCTTCAGGGACGGATGTCCGCTGATTGGACCTCTGAAAACACAGTGTGGTCGTTTGATATGTCATAGACTTCCATTATATCCTCAAGACCAAGAATGCTTTGTTCTGTTACTTATCAGATGACAGGTTTGAGTGTCCTGTCCATCATCTGACAGACTTCTTTTTTCTTGCCTAAGGAACATTTGCACTTTGTGATGGAGATTTCCCAAGATGAGATTTTTATTCTGGACCCCGATATGGTATTGTCACAGCAGGCAGGGACCCCTCCCGGAATGCCTGACCTGGTGGTGGAGCAAGCCTCAGGGTGAGTGTGCTGCTTCTTTGGCGATGTGATGGTGAGGGGAGGCTGGCCACAGGGTGGCATCCGTGTCTGACTTGGCTTTGCACTTGACATGTCTAATGACCTCAAACTATTTTAAAATAGAGGTTTTCTTGTTGGGTTTCATTAGAGTCTTCCATGGCTGGTCTGTATCATGCATAGCTGTGTAGAACTACCCTTGCCCACCACAATTTGCACCACGTTTGAGCCTTCTTTATTCACCACACGCACACTTTTTACCAAACTATGAAATACTAGTATTTGCATTTGTGTGCATACATCTATAATGCTTGTATGATCCAAATGAAAACGGGCACAGGTGGTTTGACGGGGTTATTTTTCTCCTCCGCCTCTTCCTCCTCCCCCTTTTTTGGGCTATATCCAGGCAGCCTGAGGCCTATCGATTGTATAACAATAGCTATGATACATGAGGCACTTACTATGAGCCACATGCTGTCCTCAATGCCTTTCTGAAATCCCTACCACCACTTTATAGTGACCTAATCATCAGAAGGACTCTGTGCTTATTTCCCGATCTGTAAAATGGAAATAAAACCTGCTCATAGAATTGTTTGAAAATTAAATAAGTTGATACATGTGAAGTATTGAGGATGGTTCTTGAAACTTGGTAGACACTCATTAAATATGATGTTATTGAAATAATCGTCATCATCAGCGTCATGACACAATGCCCTGCAGATCTGGTACTATTATTATCCTAAACCCTTAGATAACAAAATTGAGGCTTAGAGGGTTTTTGTAACTTTGCCCGTATTGCACAGAAAATAAATGGCAAAATTGAGATTCGGTCACAGGTTTTATTGCTAACGTGCATGCATGGAACCACCAAGATATTGTTAATATTTCTAGCGTACTTCAGCAATTCCAAAATATTTATTTATAGAGCTCTTTATGTGCCAGTACTAGTAGAAGCACGTAGGAAACAACAGAGCAGAAATAAAAATTTGAAAAATCTCTGCCCTTGCAAAGAATGAACTTCAACAACGTCCTGGTACATGGAGGCCAAATAGTTAAAATAAGAATTTCCCTGGAAAGCACACACACATGCACTCAAATAGCATTTGCATGTTGTATACACACACACACACACACACACACACACACACATATATATAAGATGCTTAATAAGCAGACAAGTTACTCCCCTGCACTAATTCATTTGACCATTGCTGTTATTTCTGAGTATCGTCCAGTCTGCCAGGGGCAGCTGATACCAGTGGGATGTATCAAGTCAAGAGAAGACAGAAGTGGCAGGAGAGGGCAGATGTACAGCCGTGTTAGGAAGCCAGAGCCAGTGGTATCAGATACACGTCCCTGGGTGTCCCACAAGGGGCTAGAGATGCCCATCTCCACGGTGCCTGTACTGTAAATCCAGCCTGTCAGCTGTGGGGAAAGCAAGTGAGGAGATGCTGGGTCCTCCTGCAGTAGCAGTGGGCACTACAGTCTAGGTGTCCTCTCATCCGCCCGTCCTGATCTAGGCCACAGTCTTCAGTCTGGTAGAGTGAACCAATTCTGCCATGCCCACCCCGGTCTTGGCCTTCTCAGTCATTCTCTCAATGTCAGATAACGGCCGAAAGAAATGGCTTAGTCCTCGGCTGGGCCTCTCTGTTAGCCTTACCTCCAAAAACAAAGGAGCCTGAAAATCCACCAGAACTTGAATCAGTGTTGCCCTTCCGAAAATGAACTAGGACAGGAAAGCCGTGAAACAGGGTGGGCTTTGTTCTTTCCTAATTTGCATTTCTACATCAGGCTCTATTTTTTCTTCTTTGACGTCACATTTAAAATTCCTTATTCTTGAAATGCAATTTTCTCGTCTGTAAAGAGGGCAGAAACATACAGAATAGTTCAGGACAGTTGAGAAAATGAAATAATAGATGTGAAGAAGTAACTAGTAAATACCCAATCAAGAGGCCTCTCCCATCTCCTGTTGAGAGGAGAATCCTCTTGAGGAAGAGCAGAGCGAATCCTGTGGCTGAGTTTGAGTGCCTAAATGCCTGGTGCCCTTCTTCCCCCCAGAGTGGCAGACTGGTGGAACCCTGCCCTACGGAAACGCATGCTGAGCGACAGCGGGCTGGGAATGATTACTCCGCATTATGAAGACTCAGATTTGAGGGACCTCAGCCACTCCCGTGTGCTACAGTAAGGGCTCTCTCTCCTTTCCTTCCCTGCGCGCCCCTGTGATGGCTGGGAGGGATTACTGGCTGTCTCAACAGTGGCAACTGTTCTCTTTTCCTTGGTGCTTCTCCTGTCCCCGGTGCCAACCTGTGCTCCCACCTTTAGTCACTTTGCTGACTTGTCCCAACCCCAAGCTCCCGGTGGAGCTTCGCTTCCCGTTTCTGTAGCTCCTGAGCCACACTGAGACCTGGCACGTGTGTCTATAAATACTATGAACCTCACCAGTGTTTGCTTTACTGCAGTCCGGGGTGTACTAGGTGTTCCTGTGTTTGCACGTCACGAAGACATGCATGAGAGAGATCATGAGCAGATTGGAAGTGGTGTATACGTTCTTCATTTGTGTGAACGGTTCCACTTGCTGTGATGACGCTCATTCGTTTGTCTCCAGTCCTGAGCCTCTGGAGGTGTGCTCTGTGTAGCATAGCCAGGTGGTTGTGTTGGCCAACGTGGAGCTGCTCAAGGTTGTGGTTTCAGAGTCTCTGGGCAAACGATGCAGCATTTGTTCATAGATGAGAGTGGTAGGTGTGCTTTCTTCTGGGGTCTCATCACGGCCAGAAAGGAGGGTGACTGTTGGAGTTTTGCGACAGTGTTGGCACATTTATGTCTGGGGAGGCTTTTCTCCCTGTCTTACCTCCTTGCAGGAAGAGATTAACGGACACAGTCTTTCACGCCTCAGGACAGTCACTTACCTCAAGGGTTATGCGAATTTGCTGCAATTCATGATTAGGCCGGTTTCCAATCCTATCCAAGATCCTAATTGAATAGGGACAATGGCCGTGTTACCATGTAGTCTTACAAACATTTTTACCAAGTAAAGAGAGTAAGATTCTTAGAAGCCTAGGGTTCAGTGAAGAGGGATTGTTTCTGAAGGAAGACCGCAACCATTTTAGTATGACACAGAGGGAAAAAAGTGAGAAATCTGGAACTAATTATTTCATTGGTGAAGGTTCTACTCAGACATCCCAGGGGCAAAAGGCGACTCCGTTTTCATTGCTTCTCTGTACTACCTCTTTTGTTGTGTGAAGAGCAGAAAGGAAAACATGAATCACTACGGATTTTCCTTTTTAATCAAACCATATAGGTAGGTTTTGATCGCATTTTAATTGCTTACAACTCAGCATATTTTTCCATTTCTTTTTTATATGGAATTGAGGCTTGCGAACCACAATGAGTCAGCTATCCATTGATGGCGAAAAACGTGGCCATGTAGCTGCAGGCAGATTTATTTGAAAATTAGAGGTTATTTAGCCACAGAAATAGAAACTGTGCCTCGACAAACCAGATGAATATCGTAGTTGTTCTTATATACAGGCTGTTTCCAAAAAAGTGGAGTATGTACTCACTCTCACTCGGGTTTGCTATACCCTGATTTTTCTATATGGAATATATTAAACTATGTATCTTGATATGTGAAGTGATTGTTCCTAAGGTAGTAAATGTTCTTCCCAAATCAAAAATAAACGTACCACTTTATATAATAGCCAAGTTCTTAAAGCCCTGTACAAAAGTCAACTCTTATTCGTTATTCGGGTTATAGTATCCTTTCAGAGATTTCTCTTAATTTTTTTATTGATCTTCACTTGGCTGCTGCCATTTGTTCTGGTCGTTTATGTGACCTGGGCTCTCCAGTGCACGAGAGCAGCTAACTACATTTTTTTTTTTTTCCTGCCGAATCACCCGGAAAGCAAAGCCATATTCAAACACTCACCCCTAGCCTTTGAGTCTGTCTAACTGAACCTCCAGATATGGAGCAGACACAAGTTATCACTCCTGGGTTCCCTGTGCATCTCTGACTCAGAGAATATAGGAGCATAACAAAAATGGTTGTTTTAAATCACTAAAAAAAAGGTAAATCCTGTACCTTACCCGATTTTGCCTATTCATTCTTCAAATTTTTTGTTATTCTTATGTCCATTAATTCCTTAGGAAGAACATCTCTTTATTTCCTTCATAGATCATCTCTGATGCAAAGAAGTATAATTGCAGTTATAGAATAATTCAATTATATAATACATAGATATTATATACCATGTTAGTAACAGTTGGTATTGATAGAATGTCTTCCTCTTGCTTTGTGCCACAGCTAAATTATCTTCAATTCTTTTTTTAAAAGTTTATTTATTTATTTTGAAAGACAGAGAGTGTTGGAGAGGGGCAGACAGAGGTAGAGAGAGAATCCCAAGCAGGCTCTATGTTGTCAGAGTAGAGCCCAATGCGGGGTTCTAGCTCACGAACCCTGAGATCATGACCTGAGCCCAAATCAGGAGTCAGATGCTCAAGGACTGAGTCACCTGGGGGCCCCTGTCTTTAGTTCTTCTAATGCCTTTTACATCTTACCATTGTTTAACAGATAAGTAAACTGAGGCTTAAGGAGATTAAAAGATTCATCTTGGTGGGGCACCTGGATGGCTCAGGCCTTTGAGTGTGGAAGTTGAATGGAAATTGTGGTTTAAGTCAGGTTGGCTAGACTTCTGACTTCATGCTTTTTCTGACCATACTATACTCTCTTCCCCAAGGGCTGGTGCAGAGGCATTGCGCCCAGAGCCCCGTGGCCCAAGAAAGGTTTATTTTGGTCTCTACATATGCAAATATACATAGGCAAATAGTCTCCCTATTTAGAGTTTTCACTTTATATGTATTATTATATATATATTTATATTATTATATGTATTTAGCTCAAATTAACCCAGAAGTAAATATGGTTGAGAATGAATTTTAAAGCAATTTTATTGCATTTATTTATTTATTTATTCATTTAATATAAGGAGATTCTTTTAAAAATTTTTTTTAAATGTTTATTTTATTTATTTATTTTTTTTTTTGAGAGAGAGAGAAACAGAGCACAAGCAGGGGAGGGGCAGAGAGAGACAGAAACACAGAATTGGATGCAGGCTTCAGACTCTGAGCTGTCAGCACAGAGCCCGACATGGGGCTCAAATTTGTGAGCGGTGAGATCCTGACCTGAGCCAAGGTCAGATGCTTAACCGACTGAGCCACCCAGGTGCCCCTGTTTTATTGCTTTTAAAAAACATTGCAATTTTAAAAAATGACAGACTTACATTTAAAAAATAATTAAATATATATTACATTTGCCTCAATCTAAATAAGTATAAAAATTATATGAAAGGTACTCATGTGCCAAAGAGCCTGAAATGTTATGTTGTTGTATGTTATTATTTTCATTAGGTCTTTCAGCCCACAAACAATATACAGTAGCATCAAGGCATATATTGTTTTATGGACTTCTTTGTTTGTATTATCTTTTCACTTTTCATTACCTGTATTTTATAATGCATACACTTTTCACACTTGCCATTTCATTCAATGTCCTATTTTTAAACTTTGTTCATATTGATACATGTGGTTTTTGATTAACTTTATTTAATATAGAATACTGCGTCATGAATATCCCATAACTTATTTCTCCATTTTGGTAGTGATTTCTAATATTTTATTATTTAAACAATGCAGTGAATATCCTGCAGCATGTGTCCTGTGTGGCAGGGTGTATGTATATATGCAGTTTCAACTTGGCTTGATGTTTCCATGAGGAATATTAAAAATAAGTATGTAAAAAAAGTCCTGAGGAATTATTGTAATATTTTGGGTACAACTGACATCTGTTGCTTTCATCTTTGAAGCCCCAGTCAGCTCGGAGCTAGGAAAAGTCCAAATTTAACATCGTGTTCACAATATTAAAAAACCCACTATGTAAATAAATCAAAAGGGAAATTTTAAATGCTTAGAACTGAAAATGCTATCAAGAGTTTGCAGAAACAACTAAAGCCTTAGTCACAGAGTGATTTATGACTCTAAATTCACTTATCGAAGGAAAAAATGATTCATACAAATAAAGCATTCAGTGTGATAAACTGAATCCCAGAATAGAAAACAAAGAAACAAGGGGGAAGAATAATAATAAAGACAAAAATGAATGACGAGAATGAAACAAAGAAATGATTAATCAAGACTAAAATGTTATAATATCGATTCTTTAAAAAGGTAGAGAAGAGACAAAATTCTGAGAAGACTGACTTTAAAAATAATAAGTATGGAAAACTGGAAGGAATGTAACTATATGCTTTCTCAGCTCATTCTTCCTCAGGGACACCCAGTCTGCACCTGCTCAAGGTGACCCTCTCCCCTCCACCCTCCAAATGGTCCACCCCCTGGGATCTCCTTAGAGTTGTCTCGTAGTTTTAACTTTGGTTTCTAAGATCCATCAACCTCCCTCCTACTTCAGGGAGAGTGAGATGGAATGGACAAATAGAATGAACTAGATTTTTATTATTACTGGAACTGGTTACATTTATAATTCCATTAAGAAACACCTTATACATTTTTAAAGAAGGGGTGTGTGTGTGTGTGTGTGTGTGTGTGTGTGTGTGTGTGTGTTGTCCACTTATACACAGGTCCCTTAGGAGAGACTATAATTACAAACAAGTATGTACAACACATATAGGGTCTTCAAAACCTATGAACATAGTCAAAAACAATCTTTAAGAACCAATTTTGAGATAAATTGGTGAGAGGTGGTTGACCACATTATTATTTCTTGAACTGCAATGAATTTGTCTTTAAGTTCAAAAAATGTTTTCAGTGTCTAAGAAAGCTCTACTTAAAATAACATGATCCTGGAAATACTTTTGCTCTTATCATTAATTATACCACCAAAACTAGTGACAAGGCTATTTTTCATTTTGGCAGATTTGTAAGGAAGGAATTTAACTGAAATTTTAGCAAACAGAATCTCAGTCCTAAGGAAGACTTTTCCCGACTCCAGGATCTATGATACTTCAAAAAGAAAAAAAAAAAAAAAAAAAGCAAAAAAAAAAGCAAAAAAAAAGCACTGAATGAAAACTCTAGTATATTCTCAACAAGTTATTTTTTGAGAAGGACAGACTTAACCTGAGTCAGACGGGTTAAGGGAAAACAGGTAAAGGACTTGGGAGGAATTTAATTTC